ACAGTGGTGGTCTCATAAGATTATAATGAAGCTAAATTTTCTATATGAAATGGAAAGATTTGTGGTTCAGGAAGAAGTTTTTTTTTCTATGATGGGAGCAGTATCTGTGAGACTTGGTAATAGATTCTTTCTTACTCCCAGTACCTCAATTTTGAGTGCACTGATTATATCCTAGTTGGTCATCCACTTATCTGTTTCAGCACAGAGGAGCTGGTTCCCCGAGCATTACATATTTGGAGGGTGCTACAGCCCTCCCAGATCTAGGTTGATGGTCTTCAGAGTACTTTGCTGTAAATTCTTTGTTAAGGACCTAATATCCTGTACAAGGACACAGTTCTGCAGGAGCTACCTTAACAAGTATTAAGTGCCACTGCAACTTCAGTAAAATCTTTCTGTGGTAGTGTGGAGCCAGCCTGTCCTTGTACTTTGGAAATATTTTTTCAGGTTGTAATGATGTAAAGCATAGATAAACTTGATTTCGTCTATCAGTTTAATGCTAAAGAGAGCCCTTTGTGCCAGATAAAGTCAATGGAACCAAAAACAAATTTCCAAAGTCAAAATATTGAGTCCTCAGTTCTATACCCTCTTTGTGTTAAATACTCCCTCCCCCCCTTTTTTTAATGAATACCACAAAGTTCATTAATATGACCACTGCTCCATCATGCATTAGCCAAACCATATTGCCATGACAATCCCCTGTGTTTCTTTTTCTCTTCATTTTGATTTCTTCTTCCTATTGTTCCTCAGGCCACATTTTGCTCCCTCCTGACAGTCACTGTTATGGTAACTTATACTTTACTCAGCCAGTTCCTTTCAGTATTTCTAGTCAATCCAGCCCACATTCTGTCTTGTTCATGGAACAGCATTGGCAGCTTCAATGTTCTATTTCTGACCCTGTCAGAAGGAAGTGGGGGAGGGCTTATGGAGCAGTGTTTATATGAAGTATACAGTAGTGTACAGTAATGTCTTAGGTCTTCACATTCACTCAGCACTCACTCACCCAGAGCAACTTTCAGACCTGCAAGCTCCATTTATGGTAAGCACCCTATACAGGTGTACCATTTTTTAATCTTTTATATTGTATTTTTACTGTGTTTATGTACCTTTTCTATGTTTATATAAATAAATACTTAGCTTTGTGTTACAATCGTCTGTAGTATTCAGTACAGTAGTATGCTGTACAGGTTTGTAGCCTAGGAACAATAGACTATACCATATAGCCTAGGTGTATAATAGACTATACCATCTAGGTTTGTATAAGTGCACTTTGTGATGTTTGCACAATGACAAAATTGCCTGATGACACATTTCTCTAAACAAATCCCCATTGTTAAGCATAGTACGACTGTAGATGGTTTAATATTAGAATTATAACATATATGATACATATTATGCTGTGTCAGCAGACTGAGTAGTTAAAAATATTTGTGGGGCTAATTTAACTTTTACTGAAGAGTGTAAATTACTGAAGCTTTCCAGTGTACAAAACTATTTAAATGAAATAGCTAACAACTATAGAATAATAAAGATATCATTATGATAGTGTGTTTAGACATTATAACTGTTTAGTTTAACATAAAACTTTTTTTCTTCATTAGTGAGAGAGCAGCAGTGGATGCATCTTATATTGATGAGATTGATGGACTCTTCAAAGAAGCCAATACAATTGAAAACTTTCTAATACAAAAAAGAGAGCTTCTGAAACAGAGGTTTACAGTGATTGCAAACACACTGCACAGATAAAATCGTGTACTTAAAATAAGCTGAGAATTTAAATCCATTATTGTTGTAGTGAGAGAATGACATTGATACTCTGAAAGCTTTCTAGTTATTAAAGAAAATGTATACTTTAAACATAGAAGGGGAAACTTTGCCAATTTCTTTTCTAGATTTATAAGGTGTTTTAAACTGGAATTAATATGAAGTATGTAGCTTTTCTTTTGAGAGTCAGATATTTGGCATATTTTATAAAAGTGTAAATTATTTAAATTATATATGGATTCTTTTTTTTTCTTAAACCTCCTTGCCTTTCTTCAACTTCTAAAAGAGGATTCAATGAGTTAATTTGATAATGATTAACAATACTGAACTTTTTCTTTTAGAATATTTTGTTTAAATAGCAGATAGCTTTGGAAATTGTTTTAAAATGTTTTTGGTGATCAGTATCATAAAAAAATTAAAACTTAAAGGTGATTTGCCTAGTTTCTCAATATGTAATAAACTCTAACTCTGCTGTTGCTATTTAATATTACCGTTTGATTATTTTCACTATTATACTTGGCTAATAAAAGTTCTTCATTTAGAATTATTTTCTTGTGGTAAAAGTGGTAAAATAAAAACCAGAAATTACTAACCAGAACTTTATATGAGTTGGCTTTTTTTATACAACCATATCAATGGTGCAGTTAAAGAATTGTACTTAGAAGCTTTAGCAGCCGTTGTAGTATGAGATAAATATTAGTGGTCCAGAAGTAAAGAGATTAGCCAAACCACAAGGTGAACTTGCTGAGTCATTTCAATTCTATTATAATTCAGAAATTGAACTAGTGGATCTCTAATACTTATCTAGCTAAAAAAAAAATCCTTCCTTTGTCTACGGTTATGCTAGCCCTGAACAAGCCCTATCCCATCTGATCTCCAAAGCTAAGCAGATTATCCTGCTTAGTACTTAGATGGGAGACCACCTAGGCAGATACAGTGCTGTAGATGTAAAAAATAAATAAATAAATAAAATAAAAAAAATAAGGGATTGTAAACTGACAAGGTCCCTTGCAATCTGTGAGGTCAACCAAGGTTTGCCTCACCTAAAAAGAAAAAAAAAAAATCCTTTGATGGAAGGTACTGCTATGATTTTATTGAAAATTTTCAATATGTCATATATGTGATAACTACATTAATAAGATGAAACCACAGCACCCATTTTTTAATCATATAGGTAATTCAATCTATTATATGTATATTTTGCTGATATAAGCAATTGCAAATTTGGACATATTTACAAACAATACCACAAGAAATTTGGTATTAGGTAGATAGCATGTTTGCCTTGCTGCCTTCTAAATGTTAAAGTGTCTAAATGTTAAAATGTTAAAATTTCATCAAATTACTATTCTAAGGCATATAATATTATACTACATAATATAAATCCTCATACAGGAAAGGATTGAAAATAGTAAAATAATATTTACTAAAAATATTGGTTAGTAAGTGAAAAATTAAGTTTGTAGAAATATATGCTAATGGCACAGGATAGGTTGGAGGTCAATGAACTAACTATTAGAAATGAGATTTTTAAATATTAAATGCAACCAGCAGACTATACTTCAGTTGATATGCCATGTCACCTAGATTTTGAGTTCTGCTGTCACCTTATAGAGTTCTTGAATTTTCTAAATACAAAGATGACACTACTGGCCCATCACCATTAAGAAACGTTCTTGAGTTATTTTAAATTTCTAAGCATTTATTGTTATTGTGAAAGCTAAGGCTAACAGGTTGTTTTAGAATGGATTTCATAATATACTTGTTATATCTTGAGAGTGTCACGGTTGTTCAGCATCAAATAACTTCCTTATGCAGGTTCAGAGAGTTGATTTGGTTATATCATTTGGTATGATTAAGACTAGGGAACTGATTTTTAGTCCAAAAATATATTTACTGGTCAGAACAGGTACCTCCTAGGGTAAAAGTTCCTGAATGCCTAATTAAGGCATATTTCTTAATTCAAATTTTGATGTCTTGTTATTCATATAACAAGAATAATTATCTCACTGATAATTATCTTACCAGAGATATGCTGCTGCAGTAATACCATCACCCTTTTATTTACAGTTCTAATGCCACTCTTGCATTTCAGTAAAATTTCACAAGTTTATAAATTATTTTCACTGACTACAAATACAGATGTATATTAAATATCTTTGTACATCATACACTCTGCTAGACTCCGTAGGGGAACACAGAATAGTTTAAGATAGTCTTTGTTCTCCCTTCTGACAATTTTAATCACTTCTTTCTTGAAATACACTTACATGTCTTTGCTAGGATACAACTTATGTAACTGTTAAAAGTTTCTCTATGGCAGTGCTAGTAACTTTGTAGCAGGGATTACTAGGCCTTTGGCAAGGGGATCAGAGAGCTAGATTTGAAATGGGTTTTTGAAAAGGAAGGAGGGAGGATATTTCAGGCAGGGAAAAGTTTGTTTAAAGCCCAGAAGAACAAAAACACACGGTGTGTTTATAGTCATTTTACAGGACTGAGAATTCACGAAAGAATAATGTATCATCTAAACTGCTAGAGAGCAGGAAATGAATCTTGTTTCTTGATATATCAACTTGTAGCACAGTATTTGATACATTGGTGTTTAAAAATGTTTGTTAAATAATAAAATTATATATGGTTATAAGTTTTTTAAGGGCATACCTTCACAGAACCTTATTCATACTAGATGGTTAGAAAATGTTTTGTAAATTAAATTAATAGAAAAGGTAGGATGAAATGCTAGAAAGAGAGACAAAGAATGAAAAGTAGGTTGTGGCCAGATTATAGAGCCCTTGTTGACTTTGTACTTTATTCTGTAAAGACAGAGGAGATCTGAATCTTTCAGAGTAGAGGAGTGGCATTATGAAATTGATCCCATAGATCAACTGACATGTAATGTGAGGACAGATTTGAAAGAGGAGAGTTTAGGGAGGGAGACCACTATTGGTGGTCCAATTTCAGTATTTCAAACAGCTGTTTATTATAAATAGGTTGCTGGGATACTTGTCGTGGAAATTCGACTAAGAGATATTGCCAACGTTTTGAGGTCCCTCCCCTTCTCCTGCTCCCTCCTCCCTCGCCCATTTCCCTCCTATTCTGTCAGTGAGCCAGGCATAGTCCAGTGTGACTCACCTCACTGCTAATGAGTGTGAGGATTTGAAAATCACGGGATGTTTTTTCAATAATTTCTCTGTTTTGTCAGCAATCTTTCTACCATTGAAGGGAGTTTCCGTTCTGTGATGGTACACCAGATCTCAGGTAGGGGTTTGCCCCTTCTACTTCCTCTTCCTACCAGCTTGAACTTACAATTCCATGCCTCTTTCCTGAAGAATGCAGGGGACTCCTGACGTTTTCTACTCTTTGTGGAGCAGATACAGGCAACAACACTGCAGAGCCAGAAGTTAAAGAAGACAAGATTTGTTTACTTGACATCAGGGAGCATAAAATGCCATTAAAGAGCCTTTCCATTTGTATGTTTTATAAGACATACAGGGTTGGGATTCAGGGTTTCTTTTGGATCTGTAATAGGAAGAATATTCATTATTTAGACCTTTCTTAACTGAAAATTACATCTACACATTCTAATGTAAATGTTTGTTTCTTCTATTAGCATTTTGAGGACTGTCTTAAAATCTCTGTTTATTGTTTTGTAGCTTTTTATTATAACTACTATTGTTACATGATTTTCTTGAAATTGATACGAAGCTATCAGAAATCATACTGATATGTACTATAAACTTTAAAATTATTTAATTCAATAATTTAATGTGAGGCAATAAGTTAGGTACTGGGGTGGGGTAGGGGGGACAAAAATAAGACCCAGTACACAAGGAGTACTGGTAGAAGAGATTATAAAGTATATTAATTTTTATTCCACAAGACAAACTCTGATAAGTGCCATAAGAGAGCTTAAACATGCTGTGTGAGTTCAGACTAAGGAGAATCAGTTCTTGCTATAAGAAATAGAAATGTGTTTACAAAGCAGGTGACATGGGCACTGGGTCTTGAAGGATGCATACAGTAAGTGAATTTCACTTGAAGGAGATGGGAAATACCCTAGGTGAAGAGAAGGGTACATTTATGATGAGAAAAGAAGAGAATGGGGAGTGGTCAAGATTGGCTGCAGTGGAAGGCATTAGTGAGAGGCAGAACTAGACAGGTAAGTTGGTGTGAGACTACAGTGCCTTCATCAGAGCCTGGCCAAGCAGTTTAGCCTTTACTTGGTAGACAAGAGTCATTTGTGAAGATTTTATGGTGGAATATGTGATACGATCAAATCTGTACTTAGATTCATTTAGTAGCAGTGCTTTCCAACCTTTTTCACATCATAGCACATATAGAAAATGACATTTTTACCTCACACTGGAGTAAATTGGATGAGATCTGGAGCCCTAGTAAGTAGCTTAGAGCTGGAGGCGATTGGCCTGGGGCTTCTGGCCATCTCAAGGGTTAAGGGGATCAAGAGGCCCACCAGTTAGGAAGCTCTGGTTTAGAAGATAGTTTCCCTACCTAGTTTCTCTTTCCAAATAAGAGGCTGTGATAATATCCATATATCAGTTTGTGAGGGCCTAAATTAGGACAGTAGAAAGGAAGTAACTGATAGGCAGGAGAAGTTGAAGCATCAATGCTAATGACAGGTTCAAGCTAGAAGAAAAATTGTTGGGGGGCGAGGGAGTGTTGCCCAGGAAGGGTGGACAGGTAAAAATCTTTGTAAAAGATTTGCCCCAGGCACACTTAAGAACTTCTGAGTCCTAAGTAATTTATACTGGCTACCCTATAGCACCCCCTTAGCATCCTCTTTCTAGCTCTCTTTGGGTATAGTCAGCAGAATTTAACTACTTAGTGAAATGTGAGGGGACAGTGAAGGCAAATTCAAGGCCCACAGAGATTTTGAAGCTAGAAAAGTACAATGTCTCAGAAGCCAAGAATAGGGTTTTAAGGCGTTGTTGACTGCAATATCAAGTACTGCAGAAAGTTTCAAGAGCATATAATAAATAAACTGCCAAAAGTATGCTCTGGAGTATAGGACATACAGACATTTAATATTTTCTAAAATGTTAAATGTTTAAATTCATGAATATTCAGATAAATACACTATCAAGGTGTTCAATTTAATTCTACTCAAGTAAGAGGAGTAAAATAACACCTCAGGAAATTTATTTTAATCTAAGAGAGTAAGACAAATATGCATAATGTTAATAAAAATAGTAAAATAAAGACCTGAGGATTTCCTCCTCTTAAGTTTTCAAAGCATCCTTTTTATACCTCTAACATTGTGGTTCTCAAATTTTAGAATGCCAAGAATATCTACTTGGCCTACCTCAGAGGTTCTGATTTATTAGGTCCAGAGTAGAGTCCATGAATCTTCATTTTAGCAACAGCATCAGGTATTTCTGTTTCAAATAGTCCTCAGACCATACTTTGAGAAATAATGCTCAGACAAAACAGTGCTTACAGTGTAAATGATCAGTTTGTATGTCTGTTTACTGGGCAGTGAGTTCTATTACATCGAGGTTCTAATACCTTTTATCCTTCAGCAGTGCTTTACACTTTGTTGAATGAACAACTTAAAGAAAGAAGATATTGCATTTTGCTGGATTTGATTATTAAAAGCTACATAAATAATAGCATTTTTGAATAATTAAAATTTCTAAAAACTTTACATAGCCTAATGGAATTATTTGTAGCCTTAGGAGCAATAAGAATTATTATTATTCTCATCTAAGAAAAGAGGGAACAGAACAGAGAAGTTAATTGCCTTGCCCAAAGCTATTTATTTGGAAAATGGTAGGCCAATATTTGAACCCAAGGATTGTGGTGTCAGGCAGAGCCTGGGCCCATACTCCTAAGTATTACACTATACTGCCTCTTTAAGGAAGTACTATCTTAGTTAGATATTGAACAGTAGATAAAATTTCCTTAGGGATAGATTGTTAGTGAGAAGGGCATTTAGGGTAAAAGTGTTTTATTTGGAAAATCAGGAAATAGTTGAGTTTGATTGAATTGTTACATATAGGAAAGTAGAAAGTCTCATGCTTTAAATTTTTGAAAGATTTGAAAGAAATGGGATAATAGATATAATACTGTAAAAATATTTTGCTAAAAGAATGTAAATTTCACTTTTTTCAGAGGAGTAGTGTATCTGTGTTAGTTCTCCTAGTTTAAGCTTTTACATCACTGTTAAAGTTTTGTGGAATAAAATAAAGGACCGTATTTTATAGTACCTAGTTATATATTTGACCACCCCTCGTGTTAGGCAATAATGCCTCGTGAACACTAATAAGTATGAAATAATACGGACATTTTTATGCTCTTTATAATAATGATTTTTTTTCTTGTGGCTTTGAACTTCAGGTATCACTACATAATTTGGTTTATGACACTCTTCTCCTAGAAAATGCCACGTACATTCATGTGTCTGCCATTAAAATAGAAGAAATGAAATTATGTCTTACTAAATGCTCCATAAATTGGTATAAAATCTTTGGGATCATGTTTTGGTGTATATACAATACTGAGGTCAATGTAATTTAATTATGATAATATTGAATGTTGGTCATTTTTTACCATAATAATGAGGTTGCTATTAACACATCTGGGGTTAGTGTGTAGAGTCCATCTTGTGAAAAGATGAGCATTATTAAACTATGCGGAATGATAATAATAAAGTCCTGAGTTAAAACTAAAGCAGATTTGGACTGCAAGAATACAAAAAGGATTGTTGTTCAAAAATGGAGAACCAAAGAGTTGATGGTCTGAGAATGAGGAAGGAGAGAGAGGAATTTGGAGACTATATTTGGCATTAGGTTTACATTTCCCTGAGCAGTAGATAAGATTATCATCTATGGAGAAACAGGTGCGGTCATAGAAAATGGGTAAAATTTTGTGTGCTTCTTATTTCCTCCTCAGTTTTGAAGAAGTACATGGCAAATACTTATCGGATGAAAGCAGTCTTCAGTAAGCGAGAGAGTCTTCCATGTATTGCACCACTGCTAACCACAGTAGAGGAGACTCCACAGATCATCTCTGCTCAAGTTCAAGGACATTTTCCTAAGTGGCTCAATGGCTATCTACTTCGAACTGGACCTGGGAAATTTGAGTTTGGGAAGGATAAGTAAGCCTTGATTTTTGGAGAACAATTTGGATTTTTGGAGAACAATTTCTTAGCATGGGCTGGTTCTATGGAATATGAATTAATATATGCTTTCTCTCTGAGGCTAACATGGTCATGCAATCTCTTTGGTTCAAGATGAGGAAACTTTATAGGGAAAAATGGAGACAATTCTTTTAAAAAAGTTTTGACATTTCTGCTCTGCAGAACATTATGAATTTGTAGTCCACCGAAGGTTTATGCCAAAAGAGAAGTGTTAGAAACCATCTGTACTGAGCTCTATTTCACCACAAGTTCCTGAAGGAAAGGGCAGCGTCTTCACCTCACACCATTGCCTCACCCAGTATTTCCCAGACACAGTGGCTCTTTCAGTTCCTCAAACCAGGCACATTTATTTTTGCTCAGGCTCTTGGCTTTGGCTCTCTCATCTATTTTCCTAAGTCTGATTCTTATCGTTTAGATATCAGCAAATCTTGTGTTGCTTGAGCCTTCTCTGATTTCCCAATCTAAAAATGCTATTATTTATTATATTACCTATAATACGTATTTTAATTATTTGCCAGCAGTATCAATGTCTAGTTTTTTGTTTGTTTGTTCGTTAGTGTAGTAGGTGTGCTCTTCCCCTAGAAAGTAAATTCTGTGAGGGCAGAGACTTTTCTTGTTCACCTCATATCCCCAGTATCTAGGACAGTGCCCTGCACTTAAATAGCACTCAATAAATATGTGTAAATAAATGAAAAAAAAAAACCCCAATAACTTTTTAGTGTATCATTTCTCTGTGTATTTACTAGGGACATAAAGTAATTTGAACAAACCACTATGGTCAGGAGGGAATCTGCTTTGCTTTAAACATTTTTAAATATTAGAAACTTTTTTTCATTTAACTGTTTTCATCTATATGAAATGTTTTGAAATATAGAATGGAGAGGCGGGCGGGGGGGGGGAATGTATGTATCACATACTCTGTTAGCACTTTTGTGTATTTCCTGCTAGTCTTCCTCCCATTTCTATAGGTTTGTTTTAAATAATTTCAATCATATTATACATAGAATTTTTTATTGAGGTGTAATTGACCTGTACCATTATGTTAGTTTTGGGTATATAATATAGTTATTTGATATTTGTGTATCTTGTGAAATGATCACCACAATAAGTCTAATTAACATCCATCATCATACATAGTTACAAAAAATTTTTTTTCTTGTGATGAGAACTTCGTTCTCGTAGCAACTTTCAAACATGCAATGCAGTATTATTAACCAAAGTCATCATGCTGTACATAACATCCCCATGACTTATTTATTTTATAACTGGAAGTTTGTACCTTTTGCCCCTTCATTCATTTTGTGCCCCACCACCTCTTGTAACCACCAATAAGTTCTCCATCAGTGAGCTCATTTTTTCATTTGTTTTTAAAATTTGTTTGTTTTAGATTTTACATAGAAGTGAGATCATATATATGGCATTTGTCTTTGTCTAACTTATTTCATTTAGCATAATATCAAGGTCCATCCATGTTGTCACAAATGGCAAGAATTCCTTCTTTTAATGTCTGAATAATATTTCATTGTGTGTATGTATGTATGTATGTATATATTTCTTTCTTTCTTTCTTTCTTTCTTTCTTTCTTTCTTTCTTTCTTTCTTTCTTTCTTTCTTTCTTTTTTTCTTTCTTTCTTTCTTTCTTTCTTTCTTTCTTTCTTTCTTTCTTTCTTTCTTTCTTTCTTTCTTTCTTTCTTTATACACCACATTTCTTTATCTATTCATCTATTGATGGACACTTAGGTTGTTTCCATGTCTTTGCTATTGTAAATAATGCTGCAATGAACATTGGGTGCATAAATCCTTTTAAGTTAGTGTTTTTGTTTTCAGATAAATATCCAGAAGTGGATTGCTAGATCATATAGTAGTTCTACTTTTAATTTTTTAATGAATTTCTGTACTGTTTTCCATAGTGGCTACACCAATTTAAGTTCTCACCAATAGTGCACAGGGATTCTCTTTTCTCCACATCCTCATCAACACATTATTTCTTGTCTTTTTGATACTATCCATTCTAACAAGTGTGAGGTGATGTCTCATCGTGGTTTTGATTTTCATTTTTCTGATAATTAATGATGTTGAACATCTTTTCATATACCTGTTAGCCATCTACGTGTCTTCTTTGGGAAAATGTCTATTCAGGTCTTCTGACCATTTTTTAATCAGATTTTTTTTTTTTTTTTTTTTTGCTATTGAATTGTAAGAGTTTATATATATGTTTATTATCAGGCTTTTTATTCATGTTGCTATGAAATCTGAATGACAGTTACTTTTAGTGGCAGGATGATATTCCAGGAACTGTGGCCTTTTGAAAAAAAATGTGATAAAATACACATAAAATAAAATTTACCATCCTAACTATTTTTAAGTATACAGTTCAGTAGCATTAAGTACATTCACATTGATGTGCTATCATGACTACCATCTATCTACTTTTTATTTTCCAAACTGAAACTCTGTATCCAATAAATAATAACTTACCTTCCCCGAGCCCCTAGTAACCATCCATTCTATTTTCTGTTAGCTACACAATTCCTGTGGGCCTAATGGGAATCTGACCATAATCCTACTGTTCTTTCCTAGCTGTTGTTGGAAACAGATCAAGAATTAGGCATATGTTCAAGATATTTTTTAATGTTTCAGATATTTTAATTTTCTGAACCTGTTGCATCTTGTGCTCATCGAACAATAAACTTATAAAATGATAGTGCTAAAAGGAAATAAAATGCAATGGTCCCCCTACTCCAATAGCTGCTATTAGAAAGCCTTAAGAATTTACTCTAGATACCTGGGGTTGGGACTGGGGATCACTGGGGTTTGGGTAGGTGGTTTGAAGGTAGAGAAAAAGAGTGAGTGAGCTAGGCCATGGATCCCCACCCTGCTCCTAACCAGAGAAGCTCTGCTTTTCTCTATTTTACATTTCTGGATTTCATATGTTATAATTTGAAAAAAAGATTATGAGGTGGAAAAGAGAAGGAGAAGGAGGAAGAAAAGAAAAATAAAACTACTATTTCAATCCCAAGAGAGTAACAGCCTCTGGCAAAAAGCATATGGTGTTTCATCTGCTACAGAAGTAGCTCTAGTAAAATTTAAAACCAATCAGCAGAGCTACTCAGAGCCTAGGCTTGCATTATAGGTCTCTTTTAGGATAAACATCTTTGTAAGGGGAGTGAGTGATACGGCTGGTTCTCATGAGTGTTCACTTTGTCTTTCAAATCAATTTTTTTCAGAGCCAGCAGTAGGCCTTTATACCAAGAACAGAGTCAGCAGTAGGCGTTTATACCAAGAACAGAGTCTTGCCTGCCTCCTATGTGAGAAGTACAGGTAGATATCTTTAGGTCAAAGTGAGACCTAGTTTAGTGGTTGGCTCCCAAAATTAGACTTAAAGAGTGAGTGGAGACCTAAAGTCAGTATAACCTTTAACCTGTGGATAAGCATAGCCCCACTCAGTTGTGAATCTCTGATCTCCTTGTTAGATACTACTTAATCGGTCTCTGTCAGCATGCATAGTAGTGACATGACACAGGACTTCCTTCATTAAAATTTTTTATCAGTGATTTTATTGAAGACATGCTTATTAGTTTTTAAACTGCACGAATCTTGGCAGAATAGTAAATATCCTCAGCACTTTAGTATCTACCACTCTCCTGGAATGACTTCAGGATTCATGATGAAGGTAGTCAAGCCTCCCAGTTCCTTGACCAAACCCACTACAATGAGTGTCCCCCTCTGTGCCACCACAACAATGCCACACACCAAGGCTGTCTCCTGGAATTTATTCCACTGAATTCCACCCTTGAAATCTTGAACTCTGAAACCCTACTCTCCACTTAAAACCCCAATTTCCACACTCCTCCATCCTCAATAAACTTATGTTCAATCACATCAAGTTCTCCTCTCCTTACTCTTCTCTGTCCTCTCAGTTTGTCAGCTCTCCTTTAATTTATTCTCCCTGGTGCAGATTCCACGAGCAGTCACTTCAAATACACACTCACTACCATCCTCACTCCCTTTGCCCTGGTGAATGCTGCTTCTCCTCCGACCACTTCCAGTCCTAGATGAGCCCATTCTTAGTTTCTTCTACTCATGGCTCAGG